GGAGCGTGGGGGCGTGGGGGGTGTGGGGGCGTGAGGAACGTGAGGTTGTGGGGAGCGTGGGGTCATAGGAGGCTGGCGGGCGTGGGGGCTTGAGGAGATGTTTGTTCATTTTAAAACATGCACTCAGAAAGCTCTTCCAATGTGCCACCCACCAGATGATGCACAGACCCGACCACACTCGTGGCATAATGAAGAACAGTACAGAGGCTTCACCGGGCCTTTTGGTAACATTGGAGAGACCTCCTGGCAAAGAGGAAGTCATCTGTTGGCTACTCCTGTGGGCAAGGACATCCAAGCTAGGAGACACAATGTAGGTTTTCGAGGCCCCATCTCAGGACAGGAAGGTGTGTCTTTGGCTTAATGCTGTTAAGATTCCCTTTTCTTTCCCTCTGGTTACCAGCGTACTATCTGTACTTGCTTATATCTGTGTGGTTTGCAGATCTGCTGTCAATGTGGTTCCTCTGGGCCCTTGGAAAGGGCTCCTGCCAAGGGTGTCACAGGTGCTGTGTACCTGAGTCCCTCAGAAAGGACTGCCTTGCGATCTCACCATACGTCCAGTCCCAGTGCAGATGTGGCACCTGGCAGACGCTCAATGTCTGCCACTAAGGACAGTGGTGCTTATACATGTTTTCTTTTTGGCACATTTACAAATGCTAGGTGGCAATGCCATGAATAGTGATGCAGCAGAGCCTGACACCTTCCTGAGATCGCTCTCAGAGTACCCTCATACCACCTGCGAGAAACCTTTAGCGTGAGGCCAATGGGCCTGCAATTTCTGGAGCCTCAATGACCTAAACATGACACGGTCCCATCTGTGTGTCCAGTCCCTTCACCTTCTTCTGGAAGCCCATGGCAGGGGTATTACATCTCACTCCAGCATCCTCCTCGTGGTTGCAGCCCTGGGACTCGGCATTGAACTTGCAGTCAATGATGGACTTCTCGTTCCCGGTGCACTCGATCTCGTTGAGATGGATGGGTCCTATCCCTGAAGAAGAAAATAAACATGGGCTAGGAGAGCTCCTGAAGGAAAGTTTCTGCAATTGGCAAGAAAATCCCAGATAATAAGAACACTTCTCTCCCATCCTCAGAACTCTCCCAACAGCCTCCCACAATCAGCTCAATGACCCAGTCTTTCCTCCCTGGAAAGAATTGCTTCTCCCATAAGAGCTAATGAGGATTGTACTAACTTGTGTGATCTTGGACAACTCACTCAGCCTCCTGAATATTGGTTTTCTCCCTTAAATAAGGGAGACGAACTAGAAGGTATCTAGGCTTCCTTCCCAACTTGCATTTATGAACCTGAAAAGGGTGACTATGGCTGCATGGTCGGGGTCCCTTTAGGAAGAGATGGCATGCTCAAATTGGATGATCTGAAGAAAGTTAGAAAAATAGATTTTTACAATAAAGGTATGAACAGAGTGGTGAACAAAGGACAGTCCAGTGCTCGGGGGCTACTAGCACTGGGCACAGATACCAGCCTAGACCTGCAGGAGTGAGGGGAAGATGCCAATATCTAACCCAGGAGAGCAAAGAGCTGTGTGGAACGGCATCTGGAAAGAGCTGTTACTCTTGGTTGAGAGACAGGGTGGCTACAGGGACTTTGCAGGGAGAAGAAATACCTGGCCTCTCTCTTCTCCCCATCTCCAGTCTGCTGTCAGTGCTCCCTGCTGGCCACACCCAAATGTGCCTCTTGATTTTATGGGTAAGGGTGGAGAGCGGAGCTGGAGGGGGCGATGGAAGAATCCTGCAAATGACCTAGGTGAGCATGCGGGAAGCTCTCATACAGGCAGAGATAACAAGGGGAAGCTTCCCACTGCTGGGGAGAAAGAATTCCCAGGCTGACCAGCATTCAGCTCAACTCAGCCACTCATCACGACGGATCAAAGCCCACTGTTTCCAGCTGTGGGCTGCATCAACTCCCATCTTGGTCCCTGGCCTGTCTGTGACCTTCTCCTTCTCCTGATCCTCACCACCTTCTTGACCCTCATCACTCAAACACCCGCTAAAACCTCCCATCTTTACGATGACCCTCCCCTGACCCCTGAACCACCCTCTGGCCCATCACTTTCGTCCCCTTCAGGGAGAATTTCTTGAGAGCAACATCTGTTGTTCTGCTTCCATAGCCAACAGTCGGATTGTCCCCAGTCTGTTTCCTCGCTAGCCCTTCCCCATCCCAGGAAAAGGCCCCTCCACCCACCTGGTTATTCTCACCAGAACCCAGAGCTCATCTCTAGTACCGCCTCCTTTTTCACCAAAAGCAGTCCATTACCCCATTCTGTTCACTTCCCCAAAGCCGAGTGCTTTTGTTTTTTCATTTCTGCTACAACACTAGTCCAACCCTGCTGTCTCCCATTTGGATGAATTCAATAGTCTCTAGTCTTCCTCCCGTTTGCTTATTCCAAAATATTTTCCACACGGCAGCCCAAGAGATTTCTAATGCAAATGGAATTATGTCACTAGTCGTCTTAAATCCCTGCAGTAGCCTCTCACTGCCCTAATGGTAAAATCCACAGTCATAGGCAGCCACCTCCATCTTTTACCACATTATATGAGGTCTTTGTGTAAGTGTCTGCCTCCCCCAAGGGGCCTCCCAGGCCCTGTGGAATCTGACCTCCACTTAGCCTTCTGGCTCTGCCAGCTCCTCGCCCTCAGCCATATCGTCTCCTGAGCCAAGTGTTTCCCTCTGCATGGACCCCCTGCCTGGACTGTCTTCCTCCCAGTCCTCACCACTAACTCCTGCTCATCTTTCAGGGCTCAGCTTCAATGCCATTTCTTTGGAGAAGCCTTTCTGACCCCATCTAAGCTGGGTCTTCTCAGGGAGCCTTCCACTGAGCACTCTGCTTCACGTTCATTCACGTGGCTCTCTGTTCGATGTCTGTCTGTCTCCCCACTAGGCCAGAGGGCCCACGAGAGCAGGCGCCATGTCTGTGTTCCTTTAGTTTCTTTTTATATTAGTTTTTATTTTAAGTTGATTTCAAAGAGGATGGGAGAGGGAGAGATAGACACATCAAAGATGAGAGAGAATCATAGATCAGCCACCTCCTGCATACCCCTTACTGGGATTGAGCCCACAACTGACCAGGAATCGAACTGTGACCTCCTGGTTCATAGGTCAATGCTCAACCACCGAGCCGCACTGGCCAGCCTCTGTGTTCCTTTTGTATTCTCAACCAGGTCCCGGCAAATAAGAAGTGCTGCAAATAGTGTCTGGATGGATGTTGTTTCCACTGAGAACTTGTTGTATGTTGGCCTCTGTGCTAGGAGTTGGGGACAGATACATGAAGAAGGCAGGTCCCTGCCATGAAGTGCCCACTTAGTCTGTGGGGGCGGCAGACACTTATGCAAGGACTGTAATGTGGTAAAAGATAGAGGTGACTACCAATGATTTTTAAAAAAATTCTCACCTGAGGATATGTTTTATTGATTTTAGAGAGAAAGAGAGTGAGAGAGAAAACATCAAAGGGAGAAAGAAACATCAATTGGTTGCCTGCCATACACACCTGGGTCAAACCCACAACCTAGGTATATGCCCTGACCTGGAATCGAACCCTAAACCTTTTGGTGTTTGGGATGACACTCCAACCAACTGAGCCACCCGGCCAGGGCCTACCTATGTTTTGAACCTAAAGGAAGGGCCCTTGGCTATGCCACAAGGTCTGAAGACACCAGTATCTAGGCCAGGGGTTGGCAAACTTTTTGACTGGAGGGCCACAATGGGTTCTTAAACTGGACCAGAGGGCCGGAACAAAAGCATGGATGGAGTGTTTGTGTGAACTAATATAAATTCAAAGTAAACATCATTACATAAAAGGGTACGGTCTTTTTTTTTTTTTTAGTTTTATTCATTTCAAACGGGCCGGATCCGGCCCGCGGGCTGTAGTTTGCCCACGGCTAATCTAGGCTCACTGAGGCCAAAAATTAACTTCTAAGAGCAACCCCTGTTATAAAAGCCAAGTTCCATTTCCTTGGAAATTCAGAAGCGATGAAGTCTACAATTCCCTAGAATTTTACAAGATTTACAAAAAACACATCTGTAACTATGGCTGGAAGCATCCAAGGACTCAGAGTGGAAAGGCTGTGACAAAATAGAGATTCTAAACAGGGCCCTTGAAGCAAGCCGAGGCCACAGCTCATGAATTAAGATGGGCGTAGAAGTGGGCAGCAACCTGGGACTCCAGTTAGATCAGGCAGAATTTGTTTGATGATTGTGAGGATCATGATGATGGTGGTGATGATGATGGTGATGATAATGGTGATGATGATGATGGTAATGGTATAATGATGGTGATGGTGCTGATGATGGTAATGATATAATGATGGTGGTGGTGATGATGAGGATGACAGTGAGGATGATGACTGTGGTGATGAGGATATCTAATATTTAATCACTTACTCTGTGCTGGATTCTGTCCTATACACATTGCTTCTATTAAATCATTTAATCATCACAACAACCCAATAAAATGAGGAAACTGGAGATGAAAGATTAAATAACTGGCCCAATGGTAGGTATTATTTTCATTATTATTATATTATTTTGTTAATCCGCACCAGAGAATATTTTCTCCATTGATTTTCAGAGAGAGTAGAAGGGAAGGGGAGATACAGAAAGAGAGAGAAACATAGATGTGAGAGAGACACATCAATTGGTTGCCCCCGCATGTGTTCCAAACAGGGCTGGGGATCAAGTCAGCAACTGAGGTACATGCCCTTGACTGGAATCGAACCCGAGACCCTTCAGTCTGCTGGTTGACACTCTGTCCACTGAGCCAAACCGGCTAGGGCTTTTTAGTATTAGCTCTTACATGTCATCACCTCTTTGTTAGTGTAAGTTATCTTTGGGGTTATATCATTTTCTCCACTTGAGATGAGCTCCTAGAGAACAGAAACGATTACCATAAGTGATTGTGGAATAAGTAAATTCTCCATTGCACCGTGCAGACCACATACTAACTCAACGAGTGTTTGTGGATTGCTAGACTATAGAGGAAATATTAACACAAGAGCTTAGCATGCTTTAGACTCCAACAAACATCTGGTTGGTCTCCTTCTGGCCTAACTGATGTAAACTTATGTGGCTTTCTCAGACACCGGGAGCCGAGGCCCAGAGAGCAGGGCCCGCTTTCCCGCAGCATGCATATTCATGGGCACCAGGCAGAGCACCGAGCTGGGGAAAACAGTGCTTATCACCCTTGTTTTCTGCACCACCCAGTTCTGAGGTGGGTTGGGCAGGGCAGGAGGTGTCAATGGAAGGCACTGGCTGCAGCATAGCCAGTGGGGTCCGAGGCTCCTGCCTTCTCTTGTTGACCTAGGTTTAACCTGCATCCTGATCCCCAGCTTTTGCTTATTCCTGGGCTCTGGACTGTACCCTGGATTGCTCCCCACCTCCACCCTGGCCCTGCTCTTCCTTCTTGTACAAACCCTGGCCCCAGGTGACTACAGGGAGCCAGGTATGGACTCTGGATCCACAAACAACTCTGCAGGTTGCAATCACATTTTTAAGCGCCCAAAAGAAGAGACTAGGAGACAGCAGTGTTTTTTGCATGTTGTAAAGGTTAGCATTGTTTCACAAAGTTTTATTTCAGCTTTATGTGTCTGGCATACACTGTCACATGTATTTCTGATTGGGCATTGCAAGCAAAAGGGTTTTAAAGCTCTAGAGCAGTGATTTTCAACCTTTTCATCTCATGGTACGCATAAACTAATTACTAAAATTCTGCGGCACACAAAAAATGTATTATATTTTTTGCCAATCAGACAAAAAAAAGTATAAATGTTGATTCATTCACACTGGACGGCTATTGTTGTATTGGCAGTTGTCACATTGTTACTTGATAATCTAAGGGAAAAGAGGTCAGTGCTCCTGACTAAATAGTCAGGTATCGCATGTTTTAAAAATTCTTGCAGTACACCAGTTGAAAATCGCTGTTCTAGAGCTTCCCTGTCCAATGCAGTAGCACTTGGACTGTGGCCAGTGCAGACTGAGATGTACTGTGAGTGTACATAACACCCTGGATTTCAAGGAGTTGGTACACAAAATGTCAACTATTTCATTAATAGCATTTATATTGATTTCATGTTGAAATAAAAATATTTCATATTTTCTAGGTAAAGAAAATATATTATTAAAATTAATTTCACCCGCTTCTTTTTGTTAATATTTTCATTGATTTTTTTTTTTTTGAGAGAGAGAGGCAGGGAGAGGGAGAGAGAAAGATCAACGTGGGAGCAAAACATCAATCAGCTGCCTCCAGCACGCTCCCCACTGAGGATTGAGCCTGCAACCCAGGCATGTGCCCTGACTGAGTATCAAACTGACAACTTTTTGATGGATGGGACGATGCCCAACCAACTGAGCCACCCTGGCCAGGGTTCTCCTGCTTTTTATTTGTTTGTTTGTTTACTTATTTTACGTGGCTACTAGAAAACTTAAAATTATGTCTAGAAACTGTTAAATAGGTAAATGGCTTGCATAATATTTCTATTGGACAATGCAAGTCTTGAATGTGTAAACTTCTTTACTATGTTAGTTCAGCTGACCCTACTTGTGCAACCGGAACTCATTCATTCATCCATTCATTCATTCTTGATAAAATGAGTATTCCTGGCACAATACAAGCTGGGCACAGACTCGGCACTAAGGACACGGAGATAACAGACAGAGGCCCTCCCCGCACGCAGCACTCAGTCCCGGGGGTTGGCGGATGCATAGACAGACGGCCGGAGTGGAATGCGGTCTGAGCGCCGGGGGTCCCGCACCACAAGGCGCAGTGCCCGACTCTGACCTGACATCCATCCTGGTGAGAAGCACAAGTTTCAGAGAATCACAGGAGGCTGGAGTCAGACAGAACCTCAGACATAAATCCAGAAAAAACTCTGAGGCCCAGAAGGCCACTCAAAGGCACTGTGCAAGCAGGGGCAGGGCTGGGACTGGGACTCTCAGTGGTCACCCTTTCACTGCCCTCACTTGGGTGTGGTCACTGCTCTACCAGCCAGAGCCAGGACTGCAGGACAGACCCCATCTGCTCTGTGACCTGACACTGACTGTGGACTTTTCTCTTTCTGCCCATCAGAGTTGACCCCACCCAGTGTGGCAACAGATAGTAAATCATCCAATGGTTCTTTCGTGCTTCATAAATGTCAAACATCTCATTCTCCCAGAGTTCCGCAGGCCCTTGGAAGCCTTTGGCTGCTCTGGGCAGTGCAGTAATTAGGTCAAACAGCACATACCCAGGAGACATGGGATGTTTATGTTACCCAGTGCTTGTTTATTCCTCAAAACGAGCTTGGTCTCTGCCCTGTTGGCCTTGGGAGAGCACAAACCATCACATCAGCCAACCAGAAAAATGCTCTGTACTAAATATTCGAGATTTAAGGTGAAAGAAGCCCATACCAGGAAGGAAGAGGACTGTCGCACAGCCTAACAGGTACACTGTGACATTAAAGTCCACCCTAGACCCCAAACTTCAGTGCATGCCCAGGAAGTCTGCAGAGTGACGGTAGAGAGGTGTTCTGAAAGTGAGCAAAACTTGTTGCATAGGGAAAGGCCCAAATCTGAGTCAGAGGACTGGGGTTTCAGTCTTTCTCTACCATTAACTATCAATTGACCTCGGGCTGTTCTCCAGAGCCTCAAATTCCTCATTGTTTGGAGTAGACAGCCTGAGCTCCCCTCCAGCAATGCTGCCTCACGAGCCAGGACTCTCTCCAGTCCCTGCTATTATTTCCATCTCTGGGCTGGGATCTATGACCTCACTGCATTCCTTTTTGTGGGGCAATGGCCCTATGTCTGACAGCTTGGAAACATCCTTTCCCCTCAGGACAGGACACCGCACACCTCCTCCCTGCCCATTCTCCCTCCTCCCCGGCCCTCCAGCCAGGTGCACTGCAGCCGCCCTGCAGGTCAGCACTGAGGGCTGCTTCCCTGCTCAGCCCACAGTTCCCAGGAGAGGCTGGGCACTCACTGGGCTGCAGTATCTGGGTGAAGGGCCTCCTTCTGAAGACCCAGGGCCCGCACGGGTCAGTGGCCTTCATGGGCCGGGCGGGAAGGGACGCTCTGTTGTGTTGTCATGTCACGTCCACAACGTTGCTCTCAGCTTGAAAGTCCCTTGTGTTTTGTTCTTTGCTCAAACAGAACATTTGTTCAGGACACTTAATAAAAACCAGGCCCCTTCTCCTCAGCATCCCATGACATCGGAGAGGGGCATCATGTTCCCAGTGTCTGGGGGCAGGGAGGTTTGCGGGGCTGTGCGGAGTGGGAGAGTAAGAGGACATGGGGGTTCCTTTGTGCCCGGGGTGGTCCACAGCCTGATGAACCCTGAGGCCCTCTCCTGGAGGACCCTCCCAAGATTTCCAGTTGCTCAGCGGGGCAGTGGGAGGCCTGGGTTAGGGGTTGGGAGACCCCTGTTACTCATTGATGGCTAATATGTTGTCTCATCTCCCTTCTTTGGGTCTCAGCTTCCAAATCCGGAACATGGGGACTCAGTTTCCCTAAGGCCCTTCCAGCTCTGACCACCCAGGGAAAGGCCTGAGAGTCTCTAAGAGAAGCAGCCGCTGGGCGCAGGAGGAGACGCAAGGAGAGCCTGGGAAGCCCCTGCAGCCAGCCGTGCTGGGCTCCTTTGCCATGGTCCCCGTGGAGAGAGGCCACCGCATGTCCTCCCACTCCTTACCTTGGCCCAGCCGGGAGCCAGTGACGGCCTCTTTGGCACTTCCAAAGCCCAGCTCTCGGCAGACCACGCTGGCAGACACCAGGTCCCACTTGTCATCACAGATGGTACCCCATTCGCCGTTCTTGAGCACCTCCACGCGGCCCTCCCCGATGTTGGCACCACCTCTCAACCGCACCAGGGGCTGCTGAAGAGACACACGATTCTGATGAGTGTGGAGGCTGATGCACGTTCAGCGGGCAGTCACTGCCCACCCCCTCCCTTCCCAACTGCCCACCCCAAGCCCAGGCACCGGGGCCAGGAGCTAAAACTGTCCTAGGTGTGTGTGTGTGTGTGTGTGTGTGTGTATGTGTGTGTGTGTGGCCGGGACACTCACTCTGAAGGTCGGCTCTGCTTGTCAGTCTTTTATGGCGTTTTAGTCCTGGGCAACTGGGGAGCCCATCGGGACCCTCATCAGCTCGTCCCCCAACCCATGCCTGGCTCCAGGACCTTGCCACCAGCCCTTCCCTCCACCCCCTCATCCAGAACCTCAAGCTTTAGAGCTACAGAAAGAAGCTCCTACCCCCAAGTCTGCAGACCCCAGGTGGATGTCATTCCACCCGACTGTAACAGAGCCCTGTAAAAGCAGGACCCTGCCTGGCCACCGCTCTCAGTCCTGACCGCACTCAAGTCCAATGGGCCTCACTCTTTGGAAGATGCAGACAGGGTGGGTGGTTACAGATTAAACACCCCTGACGCTCACCGGCAGCCTGGAAGCCTGATCACCTATGGGGTCTGCTTCATTGCGTAGGAGTCAGAGCCACTCTCCACCAGCGTCATGACCCACTGGACCACACCTTAGGAGTTGGGAGCCGGGTCATCTGACTCCATCTGCCCACACAGACTTGGTCTGCAACAGCTTCTGTGCATGCGTGTGTGTACATGTGTGTTGGGGTTGGGACTCCGAAGGCTTCGGGGCTCTGTTGACTCTTATTTGATTCAACACAGAGGGAGTAAGGGGTGACTGTGCAGCTGTTCCATGTGTGTTGGATCAGACCCGTCATTGTTCCACTGTGGCCTGTGTAATCCTCAGCCTGGGGCTCCCTTCACCCAATCCCTACCCCACCGATGGCCCAGCCAAAGCAGGCCTGGTTGCAGTGGTGTTTTTAATATATTTTTTCAAAAATTGATTTTAGAAAGAGAGTAAGAAAGAGGAAGAGAGAGAGAGAGAGAGAGAGAGAGAGAGAGAAACATTGATGTGAGAGCTGACCATCAATTGACTGCCTCCTGCATTCCCCTTCCTTGGGCATGTTCCCTGACCCAGAATCGAGCCAGCAACCTTTTGGTGCACAGGATGGCGCCCAACCCACTGAGCCACACAGGCCAGGGCTGGAGGTGGAGGTTTTTAAACATTCACATATACACCAGCCACCTTGAGGGCCCAGAGGTCAGACAAAACCCTGTGTCTCCATCCTCCAGCCGAGGTTCCCACTCGGTCACATCTCTCTCCCCCACTCACTGCGCCTCACGCTGCCATGGCAGGGTGGGGTGCTGTGACAGCACCCGGTTCTACAGCTTGCAGGGACTGCTCGGACCCTGCTACTAGGGGAGACAAAAAATGGGACGCGGTGGGTGCAAAATGCCCACTGGCTTCAGGAGCTCTAATTCTAGCAAAACAGTAACACTGCTGGCTCCAGCCGGTTCCCTGCGGCCTATGACCCTCGCTTCTCCCACCTCCCTTCCCAAGCTGTCTGGCTGGATGCCAGCCCCTTCCCAGGGAGCGGGCCATCCCTGACCCACACTCAGTGGAGGCAGAGCGCCAGCAGCCTCGCCGCAGCCTGCAGTGGCCAGGCCGAGTCAGCGGGCCCTGGAGGGAAGAGAGGAACCAGGGGAAAATGTGATGTAAGGCTCCCTTGCCTTTTTGCTTTTTTAATTGGTTTGGTATGAACTTGATTCATCTGCTTTAAACCGCATAGTAAGAGGAATTTCCAAACAGTAGGACCTGGGATCGGACACATGAGGAAAGCTCAGAGGCTCAGGCTGAGGCCACACAAAGGATGTGGCCATGAAATCACATGGCAG